ACAGGACGGCCGGTTCGTTCTATTCTGCGACTACACGATCCCGCCTGTGGGATTCGAACCCAGAGCGTCCAGCCTCGTGCGCAAACGCTTAACCTACTGGATCACTGAGCCGCTATCCAATGGTGTTAGTGTCTAACATCAACCAATCCACGAAATTGCGCGACCATCTTCCATTGTACTGAGTTAGATACCTGTCTCTATGTGACACAGATTAGCTCCACTGGTCATGGCTTCTCACTAGAACTCCAAGAGCACATGTTAATTATCGAATCCCGTGAGCGAGATCGTGGATGCGCACTGCTGAGGAGTCCCACAATAGGGCGAAATGGCCGTACAGTGCTTCCAGGTTTCCAAAGGTGGTTTAACATCAATCGGTTTATGATTCTTATCAAAAAATATAATACATTGGTTTGTGTTCGTCTAATACTTCTTGGTTAAATTGAGTTGTTTCTGGGATTCTTAGTTTGCACTGTAATTCAAATACTTCTAATTATCATGTTGGCGTTGCGATCAAGCCTGTGATGGAATGGTTGAACATACATTCCGATTATGATGTGTATGAGGATTACTTAGAAAGGTTCAAAATCTGGGCTATGACCAAGGAAGATGTTGAGGATGATAATATTGTGGCACATTTCCTCACATTCATCGGAAAAGAAACATACAGTTTATTTACAACTCTGGCTTTACCAGAAAAGCCTATTTCGCTTGCTTATGCAATTCCCAAGGAACTATTGCTAGACTATGTTAAGTATTCAAATTTCGAATGCGGGAAAGAAGGAAGATTTCTTAAACGATTCATCAGCACATCGAAAATTCCACCACATTACTACGTCATCCCAATCCAGTGCGTACTCAAGGTGATGCAGATGATGCATTGAGGTGTTAAGATACAGTTGACGAAAATAGGCACAAGTTTGGTCAATGTTTGTCCTGTGGCAGGTTTCATTCATTCAATTCCTGTGTATTTCGTAATTCTAAATGCTTTAAATGTGGCGAGATCGAACACATCGAGCCACTTTGTAATACTACGGTTCATTTAGCTGAAACTAGTGCTAGAATTTGTAATTGTGATGCTATTAAGTTGAGTGTTTTTAAAGATCATTTGACTTTATCCACGGCTTCGAATAGCCGTATAGGGTCACACAGCCAACCAGAGTTAAATGAAGGTCAGAATCATTGTGTGTTAAAAGTTTCTAATCAATCAACTTATCACATATGTCATGTTATTGTACCAGATATGATTCACATATTTCTGATGAAATTTCTTACAAATCTGAGGAAAATATGTTGAGTGAACCTAATTATAATCGAAAACTTGATGTAGTTTTGATAAATGCTGATTTTTCTAATGATTCGTCACTCTCCAATGACATTCTTAATAAATTTGAGGAAAATAGTTCAGAAGAATCAAATCCTTATGTCATATCAAATGTTATTTGTCGTCATAATCCATTTGCTTTTATTATGGGGGACTTGTTCAATGTAAAGCACGAGTTCTAAATGAACTCGATCTTAATTACAACTCTGGTGATTTCATATCAACTGTTGTTTCTCCTTATCATGAAGTCACTTCTAATGAATACTCTAGTCAGTATGAGAAATATGTTTAAAATGAATCCACATCATTCATAACTTGAGGATATGAAGATCCAAAATTATTTCGTGGGTAGGATAGTGTTGGAAAATCTATGGTTCAAATTCATTCGCTGAGATTTTACAAATACATTCTTCCTCTTTAAAGTCATTATATGTTTGAAATGTTTGGTAATATTTGAGAAAAACAAACATTATTACAATATGGATTTTCGTATAGCTTTTCCTAATATTTGTCAGTAGTGTATAAAGTGTGGAATATGTTCTCGTTATTAATAAAATTCATTTATTGTTCAAGATTTGTTCGGATATAATGCGTAACCTATTGATAAATGATTATTTAACATTGCAAATAACTCAACAAAAGTGATTTGTCTTTGAACAAAACCGAATTGTATTCACTTGGTGTTGTTTACTTATATCTTCCTATTGTCATTTAGGACTGTGATTGATCAGTCCCTTGATGGCATATATGCATCCTTTGCGAAATGTACCGATATTGCTTGAAGTCACAATCTTTATAAACTAAGTTGATAACGCGAACGATATTGTGTTTGAATCCCAGAGTGAACATCAACTCTGAGATGCAGGTACATCCAGCTGATGAGTCCCAAATAGGATGAAACGCGCATCTTAGATTCCACTGCTAGCCACTATCCATCTTTGCTTATAAAACTCAACTGGTCTAAACTAATTTAATTAAGTTGGATAGTAACTAACAATAGAATACAAGACGAGGGTTTTGTTAGTTTTGAATACTTCATTTGAATATACCTGCATTTCAGTGTTGATATTCTCAAGAAGAGTCAAAACAAGTACCTTTCGCTCTAAACGTTGACACAGTACCTACTGAGTACAGATAGACAATAGCTTGTATAAACCTTTACAAATAAACTCACTTCATAAATTACTTGGGTATCTGGTACTGGTATTTCACATGGTATTGGATTATCACCAGCCCATTTAATGCCAGTATATTCATCTTCTTCTGTACCAACAACATCAAAATTTTCAATATTATCATTTTGATTATTATTTGAATAATTTATATCAAGTGTTGATGCTGAAGCTAAATTTTTACAAACTTCCACATCAGACCAATCTCCATAACCAGTTAATTGTGTTGGATCATAAGTAGAATTAGATTTAGCTAAACGATATCTAACTAATAAATCTGATAGTTCTGGTCTTGCACCACCTTCATATGGACATGGATCACCCAAAAATGTAGAAAATCGAAGATATTGAGATGTAGGACTCAAGAATACAATATTCTATTACAAAAATAAACGTAAGGATCAATTATTAATAATAAACATATGGAAATAATTATGCAATCATAATGAAGTTAAACGTTAAAGAAGTTTTTGTTGTATTTTATGTGAAAGATAAAATGGAGTATTTGTATGAATTCGGAAACTGGTTACAAAATACCCATTCAATTTTATTGCTGTTTTTAAAACTCTCATAATATTTTAATTCATTTTATATTGTTTGTTTGAATCTTCCCATTGATGTTTAGGACCGGAATCGATTAGTCTCCACACAGAATGTATATACGCCAATATAAAAATTAATTAAGCTTCATCCTATTGCACAAACTAGTGGCTATTAGGAGTCAGGAGTTAGGTGGATAATGCAATAGCGTTTAATATGCAGGTACAAACAGCTGACAAGTCCCAGATAAGATGAAACGCGCGTTCTGAATTCCATTTCTGGCAACAACTCATCATCGCTCATTATAATAATATTTTATTATAATTCTTAGTATATGAAAAATAGTTCAACTGGAAATTAATTTAACTATTTTCAAATTAAATAATATTGTAGTAAAGGAGAACACAGGTGAGGACAACCGACTATATTCAGCACAAAATTACAGAGTTACGTGATAAAATAGAAAAACCATACTCCAATACTTTATTTGCAAAATGTTCATTAATTGCATCACAGTTCATTGGTCCTGCATTTCTATGCTAATTGCTTTCTGTTCCTGTTCTTTCCTCATTGATCTTCTTGACCTTCAGCTACCAGACATTCTATTTCTGACTAGCGTCACATACTATTTATGTCAACATATGTAGCACACACTACAATATCAATAACTAATTGAAACTTACAACTACTGTATTTCAGCCAACAAAGTGTGTTAAAAGTAATTTTGACTGTTTACTCAAAACAGAAAGTACTCAGTGCGAATATATTGATGTTCATTTCTACTGAATTTCATACAACGACGAAACAGCTGGTTTAACTGATTGTCCTGATATAGTTAGTCTGTGATTTAAACCATTTCTTTTTTAAAAAATACTACTATTCAGTGTAAGCAATTGTCGTATTAACCTATAGGACTAAATAACTTGTTATGAATAACAAGAAGATTTTAGTGAGAGGTGGTGACCAGTGGAGCTAATACATGTCAAGTAAAGAGAGGTGTCTACCTCAGTACAATGAAAGATGGTTGCCCAATTTCGCGGATTGGTTGAGCTTAGATATTAACACTATTGGATGCCAAGTCAGTGGTCTATAGGTTAGGCATGCGCACGTGAGATCAAAGCCTTAGTTTCGAATCCCGCGAGCAGGATCGTGGATGCGCAATGCTCAATTCATTCGAAATTATCAAATCAAACCTTGGTAATGATACCTATAGTTAACTATTATGTGCAAAAGGAGTTATCAATGTATTATTCAATTTCAACACATTAGTTTTTTTCTTTGATAATTCAATGAGAAGACGATGATTATCAGAATTATGTAATATATTTGCGCAATACATTTCCAAATCAATCTGATCACATATAATGTAATTGTTAAGACGCTTTATGTGAAAAATAAAAGTTCAACTAGATAGGTTAAAGGTAAGCCGTAACGAAGAAAAATAAAGTACATAAAAATAATGTGATAACCATTTGGATTAATTAGGTACTTGAAGGACATAAATATAAAGACAAAGACAGTGTGTTCCTTTGATGTGAACACTTTATTTACAAATGTACCTCTTAGAAAAACTATTAATATTTTGTGTGACTATATCTCATTGAATAAGCTTCCATCGTCATTTTCTGTTAAAACTCTTAAAGATTTATTATTAATCTTACTATTGTTTGCTGATAATGTAAAATTCATTTTTGAGCGTGAGCACTTTCGACAAATCGATGGTGTAGCTATGGATAGCCCTTCAGAACAGTTGCTGGCTGATGTGTCCATGGGATATGTTGAAAATCTAGCTGAAGACTCAATTAGAAAGATGTGTCTGTATAAACGGTATGTTGATGATATCATAACCATAGGAGATAAAGGGGAAGATTTGAACAGCCTTGTTCAAAGAACTCAATACAAGTCAAAAACATATTTCTCTTACATGCGAAGAAGAGAAGAATAACCAACTTCCTTTCATAGACATACTGATTAGTAGGAGAGATGATGGTTCCATCCAACGTGCTGTATATAGAAAGCCGACATGGATAGGGCAATATCTTAATTTTCTTAGTCACTACCCAATTCATTACAAACGTGGATTATTAGAGGGCTTATCATATTTGTACTAGCGATACTATTGAAACATTAATGAATAATGGTTATTCATTGAAGTTGATAAACCACTGGAAGTGTTGCAATATGATTAGGCCTATGACGATTCTGGAACCCAAAAAGCAAGTTTACATTATGTTACCATTTAAAGGCGACTCAAATCGACTCATGTTGAAACTTAAATTAGCCATCAACCGGAAATTTTATGCAGCTCAAATTGTCATTAATGAAAAGACAAGGTGTATGGTTCACCAAAAACCCAAACAGAACGAAAGCGATTGTGTCACATCCCATTGTGTCTATCAGTTTACATGTGTATGCAGAAACACACACATTGAGAGGAACAATCATGTTCTGCAATTAAAACTGGCGGAACACATACCGAAATGGCTGCATAAACAAATGAATTCCGATGGTCAAATAAGATCACAGGATAGACAAACATCTCCCTCCATTAAGAAACGGCGAGACTCTAATTTATGGACGACCTTTAAAAGAATCTTTATTGACCTTGAGAATATTAGCCAATCAGCAAACAGTAAGTATGGAGTAAAATTCTATTATACAAAACCAAGGAAATCAAGTGGATACACTTCTTATACGTGGTTCAAAAACTTGTCAAGGTTGGAAAGACATTCAGAGGTTCTAAAGTCGTAATGTATACAGAAGAGGAAATCATCCATACGGCTACAGAATAGTCGGCCTCTGGAGCCATGATAAAGTCTCAAAAACGCTTTCAGCCTCGACCACATAGCTTCAATATTGTTTGTGTGCACTTTGGTTGTTGAGTACACAAAATGCTACTTGTGGATAACGACACGATGCACATAACTAAGTCTATGTAGGCATTTGTACGCTCTCCAAATCATCTGAATATATTGTAGTACCTGGCTTCAGCCAGTGTTACAGGTGCTTTTATTATCCAGTTCGCGATAATTGTCATAATCTGCCTTAGTTAGGAATTATGAGTGAGAATTTCACCGTGAACTGACATCAGCTATAATGCCAGAGATTTATTTAGCCAAATGGATGAAAGACTTTCGCGTTAAAATCCGAGATCTGTTATCTCATACCTGATCGGTTCGTTGACAAATTATAGTCTCGCCGTTTTATTTGTTGTAGCCGCTCAATTATCACGTTTTTTACAAAATTCCTTGTGAACCCATCGTACATTACCACTAGGCACTGAAGTCAGCGCCGTAACCTTGGAATCCTTCAAACGCTTCTGATTGGCCCGTCCATAAATTAGAGACTCGCCTGAGAAACATTTGATCGAAACTGATCATAAGGTTGACATCAAATCAGCATTAGTAGTGTTATACAAAGGCCTCCAAGGACATATATTAAGTTTTATTGAAGCCTTGGCTATACGGAAACTGAAACCCCCTTTATGCGTTCAAAAACAATTTGTCCTTACACTTAGCCTACCGTAGTGATACTGATTTATTATCCAGAGTGATAATCACATTGTTTTTATTACAGTTTACCTTCAAACTATCTAGTTAACCCTTTAATTTTCATATACAACATGTTTTAACAAGTACATTATGTGTGTGATCAGATTAATTTCGAAATGTATTACGCAAAAATATATCATCACATAATTCTGATAACCTTCGTCTTCTTTGTCTTACGTTATCGAAATTTATCAAAGGAACTAATTGTTTTACATTATTGTTTTACTAAAAAATCTTTTAACAGGCTTAAAAACAAAAACACACACACAAAGAGAACAAGGTTACTAGAATTATACAAATTAAATATCGTATCATTAACAATAAAAAAAGAAAGTAAAATTAAAACACATTAGAAATAAGTCAGACATTATGATTACAAACTAGATTAGTATAATTCACTTGATATTGTTTTACTTGAATCTTCCCATTGATGTTTAGGATTGAAATTGATCAGTCTCTTATTGGCATATGTGCAAACTGTGCGTATTGCCTCGATATTGCCTTAATTTGCAAGCATTATAAGCAGAGATGGGTAGTGGCTAGCAATGGAATCCAGGACTCGCGTTTCTTCCTATTTCGGACTCGTCAGCTAGATGTACCTACATCTCAGAGTTGATGTTCACTCTGGGATTCAAGCAAAAAGTACCAAGTGAATTAAATTTCACCCCATTGTGCAAGAAAGTGGCTATCAGGATTCAGTAGCTAATCGCATAACGCGATGACGTCTGAAACGAACGGCACTGAGTTCGAGTCCCAGAATAAACTTCACCTCTGAGATGCAGGTACATCCACCTGATGAGTCCCAAACAGGATGAAACGTGCGTGCTGGATTCCACTGCTAGCCACTATCCATCTTTGCTTGTAGATTAGTATAATTTTAAAACAAAAGCTCTTTAGAATTTCGATATTAACATTATACATTGGGGAATATATTTCTTGTATATTCAATGGAGTAAATTTTGTATTTTAAAACATTATTTATTGATGAGTCTCAAAATAGGACTAAACGGCCGTCCAGTGCTTCCAGGTTTTCCATAATGGTCTAGCTTCAACTGACTTATGATTTCAACTATTATGATCAATAATTATTACTAATTACAGTGATGAAAGAAGAAAAAAGTCTCACTTTGATTACACTGAGTTGATGTATTTATAAACAGTGATTAGTATGTTAATTTACTGTAGAGCGTTATAACTTGTGGTCTTGTACGCTATTAATATATAACGTTATGATATCGCCAATTGGAGAACAGACTGAGCATAACTTATGAACTGTAAATCGTATAACAATAATTTGTAGGTCAAAATAAAGCTTGTAATGAGATGAATACAGATACACATAATCAAGTTACTAAATAGTTATATAATAAGAATAAACGTATAATATTTATCCATAAATAGTTCTCAAAAGTCACCATTCGTAATTCTCGTCGGGATATATGATATTAATATTGATGATATTTTTATTAATATTTAATAAACTTAAGTACAGTGAATAAATATAAAAAATCAAAGAGGGATTTTGTAGATATTATAGTAATTTAATAAGTTAAATTCACGAATCAATTAAAGCTAGACCACCATGGGAAACCTGGAAGTATTGAACGGCGGGATCGTGGGTGCGCACTGCTGAGGAGTCGCATACTTGTACGAAACTTTCGTCCAGTGCTCGCAGATTTTCCATGGTGGTCTAGCTTCAATTGACTCATGATTCCAACTATTAAAATATAAAAAGTTTGAAAACCTATGTTCAATCATATTGATGTATACTAACCAAAAGGCGACAAGCTCACATCGATGAAGTTAGATGCAAGTGTATATCTCCTCTTGAGTCACTTTGGATACCCATAAGTATATATAATTCTTCTTTAACTTGACTTAACTTTTGATTAAACATAATTCACTATGTAATATTGTTTACTCTGGACTTGAGAAAGTGGCAGATATTTTGAGCAAAAGTTAATCTAATACTTATTAATTTTATAGTTTATGACACAGGCTGATCTTATTTAAACAAACATTAAGAACCAGTAGTAAGTATAAAGTAACCGTTTTGTCTTAGTGTTGTAATCTTCAATAGTGCACACTTATGACACTACCGAAGATTAAACACAAAATCTGATGATTTTGTGGTAAATGTTTAACTTTTTTACAACTGAATTCACATCCAATGGTTCATATTTTTAGCATATATATCTTTTATATGTATATACAATCAAATTTATTTGTATTTCTCTGCTATTATAGATTCTTGATACACCATGCAAATTATAAGTGATATGATAAACTATTCTTCAATGATTTCCAATTTCATCTTAGTTACGTGGGTGATAATCTAAAAAAAACTTGTTTATTATATTCCATTTGCTTACATTGTTGTTTAATATTTCATGTCGTTTTAACTTATTCAATCACATGGATTTTGTTAAAAGTTCATGTGATTATTATTATTATTTATTATTTGAACACAAAGATATTGGTACAAGGTGGCACTAGATACATATGCGCCACACAAATCAAATGAGATTTGTGTGAAGGCTGAGATACTGCACGGGTGCCAAAACTGAACAAGGTGGTTTTCTTAGGGGGCCACATCCGGAGCCTTCGACCTGAAGGTCTGATCCACAACGCAGTGGAGCATCGTAAGGAGATGCAGTCCCATAATAGCCGGTGACCACCGATTGGTTCATACGCCAATTGTTTCTTCAGGATACTGGAGCCCATGTATACCATTGGTTTGTAATCAGGGTTTTCGAACTCCCCTAGGTGGATTCTCCGTGTCCACCAAACCAGTTAAAGCGCCGGACATTCACTTTTTGTCCTTTCAATTTCGTAGATAACATCCGTGGTGCGATAAGGCAGTGAGTAGGACTTTCCTGGTAGTGGTTGTATGCACGTGGCCATGTGAGAACATTTCGAGAGGGAGAGCGGACTCTCCCCATTTTGGCCTTACCAAGGCATTTGGGGGCATTCATGTGATTATCCATAACATACATTCTTGACAATAAGTCTAAGTAATAAACATATATTATTGATATCAAAAAATATTAGTTACATTATAAAGCGAAATTCTGACATTACCAAGATCACTTGACACTATAAGAGTGCTATGATACTGTGACTTTTATCACTTATGTTTCTTAGATGTTCTAATTTATGCGAATTGTATAATAATCCAAGATTACCTCATTTAATGAGCATATTAAAAGTAAAAATGAGTTACTATCATTACTATTCGGAAAACATTCCGAAGCATAATCCAACATGTAAATTACACAAAATGTGAATGCGCTAAATAAAAACAAATTGTATACAATCTAAACATTTAAATATTCTGACAGTTGAATTTATGAGTCAATTCAAGCTAGAAACACCACTGAAAACCTGAAAGAACTAAACAACCGTTTTGTTCTAAAATGAGACTCCTCAGTAAATCACATCTACGATCTTGCACCAAAAGGATTGTAACACAGGAACTTCGATCTCTCGTATGAACTCTTAACTTTAAATATTCGTTAGAATATTATAAAAATAACAACTGAAGTTGCTCAGAAGAAATCTAAATTGAAATAACATTCAAGTTAGTAGAGTTCACTTAATTTACGATATAGATTTCAATGTTATTTGAATGTTTCTCTTAACTTCACTTTACTTAAACTAGACAACTATTGTTTTTCTGATTCATCAATATATTTTGACTAAGTTACTGAATAAGAGCTGGAAAGGATTACCCAGAACAGGGTTAGATGAAGAATTCTAGTGAGTGGCCTATGCTCTTTTACGAGGAGTAAAAGGCGTAGATAAGTAAGTTACTGAATATTATAAAATATGAAATGCTAACAAATTATAGTCAATTTGAAATAAATTAATGTAACTCAATAATTATGAACGTAGTTATTAGATTTTTACCGTAGAAATGTAATGGTTTTCAGAAATGAAATAGATATATTCTATTCATTATTATTATTGGGTTAGGTAGGTAGGTAGGTAGGTAGGTAATGATCATAGTCAAATATCTATTTCATCCAATCAAAAGATAAAAGTTTTATTGATCAATCAATGAAGGGACATTATTAGAAATGACCATTATTGTATATATTTAAAGAATATAATTAATTCATTTATGCTCTAATTATTTTACTGAAAACTACTAGTGAATACAATTGTCGAAGAAAATTAAAGATGGAATATATATATATATATATATATATATATATATATATATATATATATATATATATATATATATACTGATATCTGAAATAACCGATTCGCAT